ACTCAATGTAAAATTTCACATTCAACAGAATCGAGTTTTAATCAATCTTTAATACCTTCAGGTTGATAATGGGCTTTACACCACCATCAATTCCTACAAAATCGCAATAACCAAATAAGCAAATTTATAATATACTCGATAAACTAAAGTCATGTTTCAGTCAGATGCCATAAACAATTACCTTGAGCTACTTCATAAGCCAAAGTCGGCACATAAATTCCAGCATATGATTCTCCAGATATAAAGAATGGATTTGATATGAATTCTGGGTAGAGCTCAAACCACTGCACATATCACAAATAAAGTCATTAGATTATATTTGATATAGTAAATAATAACTAAAAATTCAAATTTACTACAATTTCATAACTGCACCTTGAGGAGGAAAGTATGCGAGTCGGAGGCAGTTTTCAAGTCACCCGTTGTGTAGTCAGATTCATTGCCTGAGTAAGATAACCCAACACCAGCAGGAGAATCTAGATATATAACGCTAGATACCTGAAAAAAAAAAACGAGAAAGTATGATTTTGATATCTAGTACACATGACTTATACACACACACATAAAGAGGCAACATTTGATCGATACAGTGGAAAATCAGACCTTGGACCAGCTGTACGGGTTGAGATGAAGAGTGGGAAGGCTACTATGTGTCTTTCCCGCCTCAAAATTAAATGGACCTGCAATTAGAATACGACAAATATAATTACCAATAAATGGGAAAAAAGGAAAAAAAAAATGTTGACCTATCTTTAGTTCTATCTGAATCGACAATATGCTTTATATGCTTAGTTTCAGTGAGAGAATAATTATAATCATGTCAATCAAATTGACTTTCTTGCTAGTATGAAACTTATAAGAATAAATGGGCATAGGGCATCACAGTTCATGTATGAATAACATCAAAAATAGAAGACCATAACTTCATAAATGACTTCTACAAATCACTAGTAGTTAATTACAAATACATTTCCTGTCTTGAGCTGATTTTGATAACAAAATTCAGTCCACACTCCACATAATACAAAAATGCTCGGAAAAATTGGCAAAATCTAATCCGACACGTTACTAATCACTTGCCTTAAACCTCATGGCTAGCAAATTGAAGCAGACAAACTTGCGTTGCAACAGACAAAAGATAAACGCCTTTACCCTCTACCGAACACGAAAAGGTGGATCCTTACTGATAACATTGTTTTCTATAAAGGTTACCAAAAACCAATTTTCTTCTATAAAGCCAAGTGTCATTACAGTAAAGAGCAAGAACATAAAAGGATGATGATATTAATAATGAATAAATGAATAAATAAAGTCATACAGCACCACAACAGCTCCAAACCAAAAACCAAAGAAGGGGCACAAAAAGAATGTCACAACAGACAAACAGTGAGAGATGCCATTACCATGCTCGTACACGAACCCATCAAAGCTCGAGCAGCCCGGCCCACCATTAAGCCAGAGAACAACAGGGTCCTTTGCTGGATTACTTTCAGACTCAACGAAATAGTAGAATAATTTCTTACCATGAGTTTTATCTATGGTGACATACCTGTAATCGAACAGCAAAAGTGTGAATTTTTACAAAAACCCCTTTGCCCAGAACAAGAAAAACACATCCCAAAATCAAAGGATTATCAAAAGAAACAAACAAATTAACCAGACGACTCATAAGAAATGTTTTTGCAAATCTTTATTCTTTTTATTCTTACCCTGAGTAGTGGTTGGAAGGAAAACTGCCATTAAAACCAGGAAGACCTTTTACAAGAGCAGCTTCAGGTGCTGATAAGGCCGACTTGAGACTCGATGCAATTTGAATAGCTAGAATGAGCGACAAATAGTTGAACAATAGAGTTATTCTCATGTTGGGCATCGAAAAAGATTGGATTTTTTTTTTGGTTTTTGGGTTCGTGTGGTATCTCAAGAATTCACCACACCACCACACAATGGAGATTGAAGAGTAGGGGTTAAATAAATGGGAGATGTAAGGTAAATGGTCCACTAAAATCCCACTATTTTTGCTTTAGTTTGCTTACAAGGCAAGAGAGTACTATGTTGAGCTAAAAGTGAGTCAAAAGTGTGGAGTATTTGCAACGCCCCATGCTCGAGTCTTGGTTTAGTCAATACATTTGGACTTTGGAGGAAATAAAAATGCAACCTTTCAAAATTGTTTGTATTAGAAAGATTAGAAATTTGGAATTGGATTGATAACAATCTTTGGGCAATTTAATTTAAATCGATACATTGAGGTAATTCTTTAACTGTAATATGTTTGGAGAAAATAAATGCAATCTTTCAAATGTGTTTGTATGAGAAAGATTAGAATTTTGGGGTCGATAACAATCTAAGGAATTTAATTTGAATCGATACATTGAACTAGTTTTTAATTGTGATACATTTGGAAAAAATAAAAATGCAATCTTTTAAATTTGTTTTTATTAGAAAGATTAGAATTTTGGGATTGATAACAGTCTTGAGCAATTTAAGTTGGATTGATACATTGAGGTAGTTCTTAATTGTTATAGTACGAAGAGATTGAAAATAAAAATGCAATCTTTTAAAATTTATTTTTTAAAATATTGGCATTGGAAAGATATTACCTACACAATTACATCAAGTTATATAATTTATAGGCCCTTTGCTGGACATGGATTAATATATCTATCAATTGATGTCATGAGATTAATTTATCATATACGGTGAATATATGATTGAACGACGACAAGATCTTGACACGTGACTTGTGAGAATATCTTAATATGTTTAACATTAGTAGGTAAGCATTTCCTTACAATTTAGAATACCATCGTGAGAGATTTCAAAATCAATATATAAGTTTTATGTCAGGCCGGCCTAACCGTTAAATTGGCATAAAATTCTCACAAATATACATATTTTTATTAGAAAATATTATACTTTAACATATAATGTAAACCGAAGTATGTCATTTTGTATTATATGCATGGATTTTTTTTTTTTATATATATATATATAACGTGACTAATTTTTGAATTTTCTCACATAAGAATTTATGTTTTTTAAAATTCTAATTCATGGAGAAGGCGACCACATTATTACAAGATGAAAATCTGAAAATGGCGGTCACCACTGATAGTGATCATGGATGGATTAAAGGAGTTGTTTCAAGAATAAGCTAGCTATAACTGATGAGTCTTTTTTATTTTATTTATTTATTTTTTATTTTTTAAAGTATAATATTGTCGGTAATTTGTATGATCATGTTCCACTCTTCTACTTATAGTATGAATATGGTGTTTGGCTTTGATTAACAAAACCATTTATAGATGAATGAAAATATAATTGTGGACAACGTATCAACTCACAATTATTTTATGCACAAATTTTAAATATACTTAGAACAAATTTTGTTTATTGAGAAAAACATCAGTCAGCTTGTATTAATTAACCAAGTAATTAAGATGTCCAATGTGTGACACAAATTAATGATTGCCTTTGCTCATGTGAAGGGATTGGGATTTAGAGTCAAGGGGAAGAGTACAAAATGTTTGAGGTGGGTCATTTTCCTTGTAGTTTGAAATGCTATTACATTTTTATTTTTTTAAATGACAATTATATATTTTTCGGGTAAAGTATGCAAGTAACTATGAACAGTTGTGGCAAGATAGTTCGTCTTTAATACACAGAACTGAACTAAGGCGTTGGTATATACTTTATAGTTTTATTATTTCATTTTCTACACTTTTACACAGTTTTCCAATTAAATTTAGAAAATAATACATGCGAAAATTCTCTCAAGTAACCAAACCCTACTATACGCTTTTGTGAGCCTAATATTCCAATCTTAATTAATTAAATGTGATATATGCAGATTTTGTGAGGTCAATCTTGAAACACATGTATTTATGAGAAGAACATCATTATTCAACCTTATTCGAGTTGGACCTCCTATATGTAATTGGCCAGGAATATATTATCTATGTTTATATTGTATAGGTCGGCTCGGGCAATAAAGCTTGATTTTGGCATACTTTTTTTTTGTTCGACATTGGATTTTTCCTTCATAACCATAATTTATCTAAGTAATTTCTTTTATTTAATAGCAAAATAACATAAATGGCATTATATTTATGAAGCAATCCATGATAGTTTATTCCTTTCTTTTAGGAAAAAAAAAATTACATATCAAAGCCAGGTGAAACCCATGTAACAGTAGTGATGCTTCCAATAAGGCAAAACATGCTAGTCATAGATTTGAAATACCCATTAAAACAATCCAAAAAAAGAAAAAAGAAAAAGAAAAAACAACTTTTAAAACACACGCTTGATTCATTGATGACTATAAAATGGTGCGTTTTGCACCTCACGAATTGGTCGATATCTACAAAGCGTCTGAAGAGAGTGTAGACATTTTAATGTTCAAATCAACACGAAGATTAAAGAAATCCTTATGTGAGATTGTCCTAGTAATATTATAATATGCTTTCCATATAAAGAATTTTCTTTATGATAGGATTCATCAGCTCACCATAGTTATTAACTTGAACATTATCATCAGGTGATCCTAACTCGAACTACACAGTGTGCGATTGGGTATGAATCCAACTGATTTTTGATTGATTTTGTTTGGTTAAAGTGAGTTTGTCGAAAATGTCAACGAAAAATGAATTATACTCTACTTGGAGTACTCGGTTCAGTTGGAACGAACAATAGTATTTTTACGATTTTGGACCGAATGGATATCCTGTTCGTACTTATGTATATACATCATTAATGAAAGGAATATTCTCTCTTACATTAAATGTTGTCTCTCTATCCATTTATAGGATATCTGGGGTCTTGTTAGTTGTTAAATCCTCCTTTGGGATTTTTGTTTTCAAGATCATATAGAGATATTATGGCACATCAACATTAAATGCGTAGTACTTTATCAACTTAATCCCGATATGGATGTGGACTTGAGCCACCGACACGTTTCCTAATTGATTTTTTACCACAGGATCACGAATCTCCTTGTCCCATCATCATCAATGGATATCGTTCTAATAATCCAATGAAACAATTCGCATCGAACATCCGTCCAGGCTCGTTCGTCCGAATGAACTACAGTAATTTGCATTCGTCTCACGTATCCAAATCGTTCTTTCTCTCTGTTCATCAATGAGTACAAACGCGGATGAATTGCCTTTGATTTGGTACGGATGCTAGCAGTTCGGTTGATATCCTGTACAGAGTTATTTTGAATAAAATAAAGTGAGTGATGGCTTTGAGTTTGAAATCAAATAATATTTAAATTGTAATGATTAAAGTTGATGTAATATAAAAGTATGAGATAAATATTGGAAGTGATAAGTAGTTAAAATTATGTAAGTTTAGATGAATAGTAATAAAATTGACGTGATACATGAGAATGATTGAACTATATTATTTAATTATATTTATAAAGAGTAAGAGAGTTGGGTTGAGTTGATTTTGAATTAGATGATTGAATATAAAATAACTCAACCGCTCATAACAAACTATAACTCGTATTCAAATTAATCACTAGTGACCTATTTTACTGACCCATAAAAAGTGTTGTTAAATTAAACGAGTCTGACTCGGCTCGGCTCGAGTTCGGTTCGACTTCGAGGCCTTAACGACCTGAGCTTGAGCTCATTTAAAGCTCGTTTGATTAACGAGTTGAGCTTGGCTCGGTTTGATAAGGCTCGTTAAGGCTGAAAAGAGAATATTTATATAATTTTTTTATAGTTCGGCTCGTTAAAGCTCGAGATTGACTCGTTATGGCTCGAACTCGAGGCCTTAACGAGCCGAACTCGAGCTTTATTTCTGGCCCATTTATTTAACGAGCCGACCTCAACTCGACTTGTTAACGGAGCTCGAGCACCCTAAGCTCGAACTCAACTCATTTAGACAAGCCTACCTTCAACTTAACCCAACCAAACTATCAACCTTTCATACTGCATGAAGGGGATCGCTACCGAATTTACTAGCTCGTGTATCAAACTTCAACTTGTCCAATGTTTGAGGCTTGAAATGCATGATCTATTTGGATTTATATGTACTATGTAGTAATAATTAAGTTCAAAACAAATCAAAAAATTTCATTCACTCGTATACTTGTGCCGTTGGTCACTTGACCAAAAATTTGTAACACCACAATTTTTTCATTTTTTCCTTTAGTCTAACGACCATGACATGAAACGGGAAATTTATATATAAAAAATAAAAGAAAAACAAGTGGACACAAATAAAAGAAAAAAAAAAATCTGGACCGAAATCAAAAACCAGTATTTTGAGAATACGTTTTCTTTGTAAATTGTCAATGAAAAACGTATTTTGAAAATACGTTTTTCAATAAAAATTACATGAAAAACGTATTCAAAGAATACGTGCTTTTGATTGTTTTCCACAACTTTTTTTTTTTGTTTTGTTCTTGTCCACTTCATTTTTTTTTATTTTTTTTATAGTAAAAAAACCGACATGAAACATCCCATGCACAGAAAATTAAGATATTAACTATATATATCCACATACATGATGTTTTTAGTTTGATCTCGGTATCGAATCCCCAAATATAACACAATGATTCATAATGGCTGATAGTTCTTGGCTTAGATAATTGTAACAATTAGACTGATATTTTTGTAGAAGTATTTATATTTTTATTAAAAAATGTCATATTTCAAAACACATAAACAGACACATGAAATTTGATGGTAGAAAATGAATTCTATTCACCAAGCAGCAAGCATGACAAATTCATCCATCTAATAGTTAAGGCATGTCCGACTCAGCAAAAGTATTTGTGAATTTTAAGAACGAATAAAATTTAATCATTCGAGTAGGGCAGCAAGCGAATCGAGCACCTCATGAACAACTCGTGAGCACTTGAGTCAACACAAGACCCGAGCTCGAGCATTTTGATTTTGGGCTCGAGTTGTACGCTCGACCGTTAGATGAGCCGTTCGCACGACATCCATAAGATTACCTGAATATCCCTTGCTAAATATTTTTTAATTGAAATTTTCGAGTTGAACTCGAACATTTGTGTTTTATTGTTAGGTCGAATCGAACATTGAGCAAGACGGGCACGTCGAGCCTACTATCGGATATCCAAAACTAAGAAACTACAATAAACATGTCATACTATTTGTCCATGATGCATTATGGTAGTGGGAATAAAAATAATTTGCAGAATAAGAATTATTTTGGGACACAGTTGATGCCAAAGGCAATAACATAATCAACATAATTCCAATTTCCAGGCCCATCTCCACATGCTATTTCTCCAAGTATGGGGACATGATAGACACATCAGCATATTTTGAATTTGGATTCTTGTTGCATAAATCTGGTCCTTATCCCTGTTCTACACCTCCTAAAATAGAAATTAAGAAAATAAAAATAAAAAGGAAAATGTATCCAATATTTCACATTCAAAATTACCACATTCCTTATATATTTTCTAAAAATAAAAATAAAGGGAGAAGAAAAAGAAAGAAGAGATGGACTCCAACTCGCAACAAATGTCTAGTCCCCTCAAAATACTATTCAAATGTCACTCCACCGTTACCAATTAATTGAAAATATCATGCTATAATCATACAAATAAAAGAAAAATATCAAATAGCAAATTGTAAAATCTTCAACATAGATATACCTTTTCAACAACTATGCATACTTTTAAAATATCATATTCTAAAAATTATTATAAATAGAAGTATGATATTTGATATCATTAGTATACATTTGTTTTATAAAATGTATGATAAATCGACCCGTCTAACGATTAAATCGTCTCATGTAAAAATTTATGCAAAACTTTTTGTTATTATTCAACACTATCAAATCAACTCTGTACATTAGAAATTAAAAAATTATTATGATTCGATGATTGAACATGGAAGAAATAATCATTATTGTTAATTAATATTATATCACCGCTCACATATTTTTCCCTATTAATTATTGTTAAATAAAATTTTATTAATTTTATATCATACTAAGATTATATTATTATTTTATGTTCATTCATAATTTCTTATATTTCTTTTAATTTAATGTTTCCATTTTAACCATTCAATAAAAAAAATTCAACATCCAATCACAATCACCTCGTGAAATAAAGTAAAACCGTATATTCCACATCCAGCTGTCAAAGCGTTAGCCCCTCCCCCATTGCTTCTTATCACACCATGTCACCACATTTTCCTCTTATCGCTCAATTTTTTTCCATGCATATCACCTGCATCAGATCCCTCTACTCCCCTGCCACGCGCCTTCAAATACCGTCCTCCTCTTCCTCAATCAGACATCCAACACGTGTCCCCACATATTTCGAATTCCAATTTTACCCCCACATACTCCAAACACCACCAATCGGTCCCCTGCACGCATCCGCAGGCAACCTCACCTCCACCCACCAATAATTGATCATTATTCGTTTCCGCATAAATCCCATCTGTATTCTCGCTGGCCAAAAAAGCCGTCTCCTTAATCTCCTCCCCACTAAAATCCTCTTCCGCCGCCGCCGCGGCTTCCTCCGCCCCCCGTACCAAAAACCCTCCATGCTATAACCTCCCCGGCGGTCGAAGTTATCGAAATGAAAAGGGAAAAAATGCGCCGCGCCCTGGCCCTACTCGCCGCCGTCCTAATCTGTTCATCGCTGCCGGCGTTCCCGGCTTCCGACGAGCCCTCCGGATCGTCGATATACGAGGTCCTGAAAAGCCACGGCCTGCCGATGGGTCTTCTCCCCAAGGGGGTCAGGAATTTCAGCTACGACAACTCCGGCAAGTTCCAGGTCCACCTGGATCGCGCCTGCAACGCCAAGTTCGAGGACGAGCTTCATTACGACATGAACGTCTCCGGCACGATCCGGTACGGTCAGATCGATGGGCTGTCGGGGATTTCGGCGCGGGATTTGTTTCTGTGGCTGCCTGTGATTGAAATCCGGGTGGATATCCCCAGCTCCGGGTTGATTTACTTCAATGTGAGCGTGGTCTCGAAGCAGTTTTCTCTGTCTTCTTTTGAGACTCCGAGAGATTGTCTGGCGGTTCCTGGTCCGGGTTCGGATTTACAGGCCGGGCCGGGTATAGCAGAGTCTGCTTCTAAAGTCAGTAACCTTGCGTGATGAGTTTTAGTTTCTGTTATTTTATGGAAGTCTATTTGTTGGTATTTGCTTGTTTGCTCCTCGGTTGATACGTGTGTGATATCTTTTGATTTGTTTGTTTCTGGTAGGATTTTTTGGGTTTTTGGAGCAATACTTATGAGGTTTGTTAGGTGTGTGTGCTATCTTATGATTTGTTTGTTTCTGATTGGGTTTTTTGAGCAATAATTATGAGGTGTGATAAAGGAGAAGTATTTTGCATATGGGATCCGTGATAGCAAGGAGGGCAGATCTTAGAGTTTGGAGGAAAATGAGATTGAAATGTAGTGCTTTGAATTATGAATTAGTGTCACTTTTTTTCGCGTGAAGTGCAGAAAAGGTTTGATCTTTTTGACTGCTAGAGTCCTTTTTGCACATTTTAAAGTGAAATTAGCCTTTACAACTTACATACTCATAAAAATTGATATGGCATGTCATTAAGTACACCTTTTTTGTTCGAAAAATCTTTGGATTTGATGAGGTTGTAGATTCTAAATGTTTGTTGTTCCAATTGGTACAAGACATGCTTAATTGCCTCTGATTTTGGCTGCATTGTGTTAGCTCCCGAAAACCTTAACCTTTCAGTTAGCATTGTTTTCAAAATTTTCACTCATATGATTGAAAGAGCTGATTTAATGTTCTTTTTATCAGATTCAGTTGGGGAGGCTCAGATACAAGGTCAATCAGGACAACACAGCGAAGGCAACATTGTAGATTTTTCACTGGAAAGATGAATGGTGCACATTAGCTCAATCAAATTGTGAAATATTTAATTCTTGTATATACAGATCTGAGGAGAGACTCTGCTCTAGAAGATCTTATTTCTTTGTGTTCTGGTTTTTGTGCTCGTGAGTTGCATTTCATAGTGATGATGAGTCCACAGAGTAGTCATGCCAAAATCCTCTCCAACAACGCCAAGTCATGTGGGCCCCTCCAAAGGGTTGGTCGAGAAGATAGAGAGATATCATCTGGGTAAGGATGCGAATCAGGTGATAAATTTGCCCGAGTTCGTTGTGGAGTGATTATGAATGTGTGGACATTGACAGAATTTGTTTGAATTGTTTCTCTTTTTTCATAGTATAAATGTCTGGTTACGATTTATACGTGCTTCCACTGTGGAAGTGAATAAGGAATAAAGTGGTTCTTTTTTCAGTATCCAGTTTTGTACTGGTCGTGAATTTATTCGTTCCCGTGTTCTAGCACTAGCAGCCTACTGACTTTCTTTTGCTTTGATTACAGTGAATGCTATGATCTTTTACTTCAGGACGAAGGTAAGAATTGGAAACCATATTGACGAATTTCAGGAGTACTATCTGGTTTTGTTACTTCTGTAGATTAGGGAGGGGAAAAAAAAAAAAATAAACGTTTGCAGGAAAGAAAAATGAACCATATGAAAACTAAGAAAAAGGATTAGGCTACTTAGCATGACACTGATATTCTTGTAGGATCTGATGCTATTTTCTTGATCTGACTGTTCTATTATTTGGAAGCCCCTATTATCGCAAATGATATTTGTAGAATGATTCCCTTGAAAATTATTTAACTTGGGGAATGCAATTCATGTTCTTCAACTTGTACATAAGAAAAGAGAGACTGTTTTTAGCTTTTATACACTACTCAACATTACTGTTGGATAACTAGATTGTCTATGCTGTGATCCTTGTACATACTGGATACCGTGAATTTAAGCTAGGCTTTAGTTTTTGTGGATGTCTATTAGTTGTTTCCACATGATTCTGAAACTGATTGCTGTTTTGATAGTCCGTGTTTTATTTAAAAATTTTAATAGAAGGGAAAAACTTCATGCATCTCTCTGTCTCTCTTTCTCCTGCGCGGTTTTGTTGGGTGAACTTAGTTAATAACTTTCTTGCTTGAGGTTAGAATTGTTAAACGAAATGATTTTCTCCTGAACTCGGCACGCCTCGTTTGGTAAACAAGCCGAGCTCTAGCTCATTGAAATCTCGTTTAATTAACGAGCTTGGCCTGACTCGCTTGTTAAGGCCCATTAAAGCTCAAAAATTAGAATTTTTATATATTTTTATATAATTTGACTCGTTAAGGCTCGAGTTCGACTCGTTAATACTGATGAACGAGCCGAGCTCGAGTTCGATTACAACCCTATTGGGAATCAAGCAAAAAACACTCGGACCCGGTGCAAGAACATAATTTACATTTTGACATGAAATATGAGTAACACGAGTTAAATTTAGGGTTTTACCAAATAATGCGAGCAAAACTTGGGAACCTTCGACTTCGACCCTGTCAGTGTGGATAAATTCAGTGACATATCACATAAGTGTGATTTAACTACTGCCACATGGTATTACTATGCAAAAATTCAATTGAAGAACAGTAGATCAATTGAAGAGACAACATATATAATGTGTCATGATAAAATAAATAAAGAGGACACAAAAGTTGTTTTTAGTTTTTACTTAATACCATTTCATGATAAAGTGAATATCACAGGATCAAATATATTACTCTTTAATTTTGCATACTTTAACAATTAAAAATCTTTTTTTTTTTCATATTACTTTCTATATTTTGGCTCGTTTATATTGATAAATGCCAAAGTCGAGCCGGTTGCTTATTCGAGTCTGACCTCAGCTCGACTCGTTTACAACCTTACTTGAAAAAAAATTAAGAATTAAATTACAAAAGTAAGAAACAAATGAAACTTAAATTTTATTTTAGCCTAAATTTAAATTCTAGTCACAACTTACAACCCATATTCGGACAAATACTTTTCATAATGTTTTCTCACGGTTCCAATTTGCAGCAACCACACAATGGTATGTGGTGTGTTGTTGATGACTTTATTTATTTATTTCCAACACACGAATGATCTGGGCCGTTCGTTTGTCCAAAGTGTGAACAATAATACTCCTACCCCTACACTGTTTACATTACTGGTTCAAATCACGCAGCAAACTTCAACTGGCCCTTATTCGGTAAGCTCTGACATAAAAGGCCTAAAATTGGCTAATAAAACTTCTCTAACCATCTAACCTTATCCCTTTCCGGACTCCTCCTCTTTCTCCACCACCGTCACCACAATCGACCGGCTGCCGGGAAACGCCGTACTTCCTCCGGCAGTCCAACCCAACCTAAACCCCACACAGAAAGATGTCACTAAATCCCTGTCTACCTCTTCAGGCACTTCCCAAGACTATATTTTTCTTCCACCCCAACAATTCAATTCCCTCTACTTTGCAAAAGAACCGTTCTTTTGCAACTATTACAAAAGGGTTTTCGAGAAGGGGCATGAATGTGAAGGTGGGCCCTGTGGTCTCCGTTGCTTGTTCGACTTCCTCGCCTTTCTTTGGCAGGGTAGGGCTGCACAGGAGAGAGGGGAATTCTTCTCTGCTTTCGTTCGGTGTGGACCCGAAAATTGTTTTCGATGATACTGAGGAAGAATCTGATGCTTCACAGGTTTTGTCGGCTATGCTTCCTTTTGTGGTGGCTCTCACTGCTGTGGCTGCCCTTTCAAAGCCTTCGACTTTCACTTGGTGGGTGGTGTTATATTGTTTGACTTTGACTCCTCATAATATTGTCATTTGATTCCTAATGACTTTGTGGTTGCTTGAAGTTTTGCTGTTTGTGGTTTGTTTCACTAGCAAACATCTTTTTTTTTTTTCATTAAGTTATGTATCTTAATCTTATCCAGAATGATGTGTAAACGAAATTTGAATATCTGCATGATCACCAGTCATTTCTTATTTTATGTATATGCTAGTAACATTCTCTTGTTTTTATGTCATAATTATTTATAAATTNTTTTCAGAGCACGGATGTTATGATGATTTTAAGCAATCTTGTTATTCGTCTCAAATGTGTTTAATGCTTTCTTAAGAGGTATATATTCTTGTTTGTTTTGTAAATGATAGAGGAACCTGCAGGGTGTCGAAAGAATTGTATGCTCCTGCACTAGGAGGCATTATGTTATCTATCGGAATCAAACTCTCAATTGATGATTTTGCTCTGGCGTTTAAGAGGTTGTTAAACAATTTTTCCATCTTATTTCCCGTTTTCAGTTTTGTGAATATTTGACCATTGGTCTTTGCATAATTACATTATAGTGAAGTCTTTTTCCTATTTCATTCTGTAGACCTCTGCCCTTGTCTATTGGATTTTTAGCTCAGTATGTATTGAAACCGGCTCTAGGGGTTTTTGTGGCACGGGCTTTTGGGATATCACCGATTTTTTATGCGGGATTCGTCTTAACGTCATGTGTTGCTGGGGCCCAGTTATCCAGCTACGCCAGCTTCTTGAGTAAAGGGGACGTGGCCTTGAGTATACTCTTGACGAGCTCTTCAACAATTTTTTCAGCTCTTGTTACTCCTCTTTTGACGGGCCTTCTTATTGGCTCTGTTGTCCCGGTTGATGCTGTTGCTATGTCCAAATCGATTTTGCAGGTATTAGAGCTCTGAAAATTACGAAAAAAGGGAAAAAAAGTATCCCAGGATTTTTCTTAATTACATATTTCCAATTATCTTCCAATATTACAAGTATTCTGGTGAGACTTGAGGCATTAAATGTACCACTTGAAATTTTTGTGCGTGGGATATGTAACATAGAAACAAATTATAGAACAAATCTGATTATTTCTGGAAATTACAAATAACCTCTTGACGTGTATTGAAAAATATGTTCTTAGAACTGTTTTTGTATTATAGTGTCTCTTTTTACCTGACTCAAGGCTTGAGTGTTTTATTTAAAAGGTTATTTTTTTCCCATGATATTTTGATTTTTTCAGGTTGTACTTGCTCCAGTGACTATTGGCTTGTTGCTCAACACTTATGCCAAACCAGTTGTGTCCTTCTTGCAACCCGTGATGCCGTTTGTTGCGATGATTTGCACCTCAATGTGTATTGGGAGCCCACTTGCTATTAATAGGGCCCAAATCCTTTCTGCAGAGGGTTTGAGATTAGTTGGACCTGTGCTATCTTTTCATGCTGCGGCATTTACGTTGGGCTATTGGATCTCCAAAATCGGGCCTCTAAGGCAAGTATCTCGTTCGATGTCTTCAATTATTTTCTGAAACTGTAGTAAAGAGAGCAATGATTCCCATATATGCATTTTTTGTCCATTTTTATCGATATTCATCATGTTGAATGCACAGTTGTGAAGATTAGTTAGTTATCTGCCCTGAGATTAGT